CTTTTCCTCCGTGGCTGCTGGAAGAGCTACATTACGTAAAGGCAGATAAGTCCCTGCCTTTTGTCAGCAGTTGGAATAATTTTCAATATCTGAGGCACCCTGTCAGGCAAAGGTCATGCCCTGTTCTCTAGATGGTCTTAATTTAGCACCTGCAAGTTCTTGGTGAAGTGCAAAACTTTGGGACGCAGGAGGACCCTTGGAAGCTGCTGTGAATGGAATGTCTTCCCTATGCAGAGAAGTGAGTGAGCTGCTGAGCACCTGCATCATCCTCACCTCCCAGCTGGAAGTCAGTGGTTTTTATTGGAGGCTTACAAGAACCATTCAAAGCACAGCTCTGCTCTAGCTCCAGAGCCTGGCTTCAAAGCATCTTAGTTGACGCCCTGATCAGTGCCTGGTTGCTTGGCTTCCTCCACGGGCTGCCTGCATCCCTGCTGCCCTAGGGGTGCCACCTGCTGTCTGCAGGCTGTGTGTCTCAGAGCACAGGTGACGAGGCAGCTCTGAGGTGTGAGGATGATGGGTCAGACATATCCTTGGCTGGATGTTTTTCACTGTTATTTAAAATTCATTCCTTGTCTCCATTGCCAGAGGCTCATTGAATTCTGGAGGCTGGTACAGCTGAATTCAGCAGAGAAATTGTTGTCACCAAACTCGTGAGACTGAGCAGCACAGGGAAACCGTACTGGGTGCTGCAGGGTGGGGGGAGCCCAGCCTTCCTATCAGGCCTTGGAGAATCCAGGGGAGTGCCTCTGGGAGGTGTCCCTGATTGTCTCTCATCCCTTACAAGATGTGCTCAACTGCAAGGCACAAACACACAAGGGACAGGGCTTTTGACAAGGGCATGTAGTGATAGGAGAAGGGGGGATGGATTTAAACTGCAAGAGAATAGGTTTAGGTTAGCTATTAGGAAGAAATTCTCCCCTGTGAGGGTGGGGAGGCCCTGGCACAGGTTGCCCGGAGAAGCTATGGCTGCCCCATCCCTGGAATTGTTCAAGGCCAGGCTGGACGGGGCTTGGAGCAACCTGGTCTGGTGGAAGGTGTCCCTGCCCATGGCAGGGGGGTGGAACTAAACGATCTCTAAGGACCCTTCCAACACAAATCATTCTGTGGTTCTGTGATTCTATGGCTCTGGAGGTTTTGCTGCTGGATTTTCGGTGTGCAACTGTGGACTCCTGCTGGCGCTGGCACCGACAGCGGCCGCACACCAGGGCTTATCTCCAGACCTACCAGAAGCAGGAAACTCAGCGAGTTCCCAAGCAAACCTCTGGTGCAGGAGGCCAGCGTCTCTGACCTCCAGGGGTCCTGAGCGTTTGAACACGCTCCTAATCTGCTTGGGAAAAGCAGGAGGACTGGGGAGGGAGAGGAGGGAGGGCTGGGGCTGTGCCCTGAGCAGGGTCGGCTGTTGCTCGTGGCTTTGATTGCTGAGGCTTGCTGTCTCGGGCTTGCGGGATTTGGCTGCCTGGCCACGAACAAAAAAGCTGGATTCTCCCAGAGCCTTTATTCCCATGTCAAGATCGCTGGTGGTTTCCCGAGGAGGAGTGGAGGGAGAGGAAGGCTTTTGTTGATGGCTTTTGACAGGCGTGGGGAAAAGCTCTGCTCCAGCTAAAATCCTAGAATCATAGAATAGTTTGGGTTGGAAGGGACCTCTAAAGGTCATCTTGTCCAACCCCCCCAGTAGTGCTCCCCAGAGCTGCTCTTCACCTTTCCCCAGTGTGGGCTCAGCTGGCACTGGGAACCCCACTCCTGTGCTGGGGTCACCCCAGAGCCCTCACTCAACATCTCACTTTGATGGGGCCACCCCCTGCCCTCTGCCTCCTTCCAGGGGCTCCTCGCCTTCTGCTCCTGCCCAGTGCTGGCAACCTGTCTCATTCAATCCCAACCCCAAATAGCCCTTTCTGCAGGGACTGACAGCCCAGAGGGTCCAAACAGCAAGGATGTGCCAGGAAGGAACAACACGTGGGGAAGGAATGAGGAATATCCAGCCAAACCTACCTGCGGACACCACTCTGCCCTCCTCCTTCCTCCCACCCACCATCCTGTCTCTTGCTCCTGAGCATCATCAGCAGATTTGAACTGCAGCTGGACCCTGCCTGAGAGGAGCATCTCCACCCAGATGCTGCATGCAGAGATCCCTGGAAGATGCAGGGCTGTTGCATTCCTCAGCCAAGACAGCCTGGCTCTTACCTGGGATCTCTAACAGATGCCCACCCTGCTTTCCTGAGAGACAGAAAACATGCTGAGGGCTCATTGCCACTGCTTTGGCATCCTGGAATCCCTTGCCTTATTCACAGGACTGGTCTTTGCTTCACAGGCAGCAAAATTATCACATGGGTCAAGTTTATTGCCTTTTTTTTTTTTTTTTTTTTCTGAAAGCAAAGAAAAACCACCCAAATGACAGGGATTTACTCTGTAGCCCCCAGTGGTGCTGAGATGGGAACAGCATTCCAGCATCTCTGTTTCCCAGATGCTGAGCCAACCCAGTGAGGTGCCCTCATGGTCCTGCCCTCCTCACTCTCACCATCCTCCTCCAAGTGCCACCTTGGCAGAGGCTGCCAGGAAAACCTGCCTGGGTGTGGATGGAGAGTGTGCTGGAGCCAGTACAGCGTAATGATTCATGATCTCAGCTGCCTGCTCCAGTGGTTCCTAAACCCAGACTCAGGCTTAGGCAGGCAGAGCAGGGGAAGCCAGGGGCTTCATGTGGGAGGGAGCCTTCTGCTGCTGTCACCCATCTTCACTCCAAAAAGTGGGCTCCTTGGTGGGCTTTGCAGCTCCTGCTGCATCCCAACCCTGCAGACATCAGAGCCCCTTGTTTGTGGGTGTCATTGTGTCAAGAGAGAGTGGCCTAGCCCAGGCCAGAGTCTATATATAGAGTCCTTGCCTGGGTGCATTTTTGGAGGGTTTTATTGCTCTGCTGTTGGATTCATCCCAGTCAGGCTGTCCCTGGGGAGGCAGAGCTGCCGAGCCTCTCGGATGGCTGCCTACACTGCTGAGGGTCTTGTGGCCTTGCTGGAGTACCTGGGGCAGGGTGTTGTGTGACAAGATGATTAATAATCACTTAATAGGGTCACCACCATTCAAAATTGGCCATCCCGTGGGATGCTCTCTTATCAGGCCCTGGCAGACAGGGCTATCAGGAGCTTGTTTCATTCCTGAACAAATACGCACTGGAAGCAGCTCTTGCTGGTGTTGGCCCCAGGACAACCCTTGCTGGGGCACCTTGCCAGTGCCAAGCTGTGAGCCGGGCTGTCTCCATCCCCCCACTGCCCCTGGATGGGCACCGGTGTGATCGGAGAAGGCAGGAGAGCTGCAGACCTCTTCTCACCACCTTCCCGTGAGTGATGGGTGTTGGTGTTGTGCTTGGATGTGGTTCACACCCCAAATGTCCTTGGGAGCTGCTTGAACAACTTTGCATGAGCCATCCCTGCTCTGCCTGGCCTTGTTCGCTCCCAGCGTGTCCTCCCTTCCTCTCCACACACCGCCAGCCCAGCCCTGCCATGCCCTCTACCTCTCCGGGTGCTCACACCCACCTCCCTCCTTCCTGAGGGGCTGGAGGAGCACTGTGCTCACCCCTCCTAACCCTCAACTTTTTCCAGCACTCTATTTTTCTATCTCCCTTCACTAAGAGCATCAGCCCCCCGCAACCTCCTCCCGTCACCCTCCCACCTTGAGAAGACAAAAAAACCCCTGACCCCAACCCCACACAGCCAGCTCCTACCGTTTGTTCTTAAATCCCTTCCCTCCTGCCTCGCTGGTTTGAAAGCCTGTACCCTGGAAGGGGCCTCCCAGCTTTCGCTGGCAACCCTGCTTCAGACTGACCGCCACAGATAGTGTTTGGGAGCAAAAAAAAAAATATATAAAACAATAATAATTTAAAGAAAGAATAAAAAAAAGGTCTCTTCTCGCTGGATCTCCTCGCTGAAGTTTTCCTAGTCTCCCATGATGCAAGGGAGTCTTGGGAACCAAGAGGAAACTTTGGGGGCTTGTTTTCTCACTCGTGTGCTTTGAGAAGCTCTCCCCAGCAGCATCGGTGCCGTACCCTCTGGCAGGAAGGTGGGAGATGCTTTCTCACACCTCTGCCCATTCCCTTGGTGCATTCATAGGGGGTTTTTTTTTGGCTTTTGTATGTGGCTTGCTTGGATAAGGCACCTCCAGACCACCTTTCTGCATGTGTCGAACAGGTGGGATCATTGTTTGGGAAAGGAAAAAAATAATAAAAGAGAGAGAAAGCAGAAAAATCTCTGCCTGAGAAGGGACCCTGAGCCCAAGACCACCTCTCCCCTCACCCGGGGGAGGGCTGAGGGACCGTATCCCCTCCTTTCACCTTCCTTTCCTCTCCTCTAGGTGATGGACGATGTAGCCGGGGTGGGAGCTACAACAGGAGAAAACACGGGCAGGGACAGCACAGGTGCTGTCCCAAAACGCCGTGGGGCAGGAGGGGATGCGTAGGGGACCCAACACCCTCCGGGCATTGAGTCCCCTCCGCATCCCCTCCCCGCCAGCATCCTGGGCAGCGCCCGGGAGGGCGGAGGGAAGGGAGGGCGATGCTCCGCTCGGGGTTTATTAGATTGGACATAATCATCTTTAAATAAGGGCAGCCCCCCCTCCACACCCCTCCTTAGGGTGGGGGGGGGAGCGGAGCGCCTCGGGGCTTTCTAGATAAGGGCGACTAACGCATCCCCCGCTCCCGCAGGCAGAGCCAGCCAGCGCCGAGAGCCGCGCAGGGTCTGCCGTGCCCCGGGAGCCCCGGCTGCAGGCAGAAGGGGGGTCCCTGCCGCGGTGCTCTCGCCCTCCTTCTCCTCCTCCTCCTCTTCCTCCTCCTCCTCCTCCCGCAGGAGCAGAGGGGAGGAGAGCGGTGCCGGGGAAAAGTTGGGGGCAGCGGCAGCGGCGGGGGCCGGGGGACTATGCCCCGGCGCTGCCGCCCGCCGCCCCCCTGAGCGCCCCCATCTCCCCCGAGGCCACTCGCCCGCCACCTCCCGCCCCCCAAAACTTCTTGCCCAAGGAGGATGCTGCGCGGCGGGGCCCCCCTGGCCGCGCTGCTGCTGGCGGCGCTCAGCCTGGCCCGCGGGGATCCCCCGGCGGCCTCGGGGTGCGGGATGGAGGCTCCGAGCCGCCGCGCCGCGCCCCCGCATCACCCCCTCGGGCTGTACCCGCAGGGTCCCGCCGCGCTCGGCGCTGCTCCCCCGCGGGGCCGGAGACCGCGGGGAGCCGGGGCAGGCGGAGACGAGGTGGGCGGCCGGGGCTGGGGGGAGAGGCGGCGCGGGCGGGAGCCGCAGGTGCCGGGCTCCCCCCGGGAGCTGCCCGCGCTGTACTTCTCGGGCGGCCGGGAGCAGCTGGCGGCGCGGGCGGAGGCGCTGCCCGCCGTCCCGCGGGAGGAGTTCACCCTGGAGCTCTGGGTGAAGGCGGAGGGCGGACAGAGCAACCCGGCCATCATCGCAGGTAAACCCCGGCAGGGAGGGAGGGGGGACCCGACAATCCCGCGACACCCCCCTCCTCCAGCCTCCCCACGCGGGGCTCCCTGCCTTCCCCGCTCCGGCAGGTGACACCTCGCGCCCACACCTGTGTCCTCAGCACCGCGGGCGTGGAATATTCCTCCTTCCCTTGAGACCAAACCCTAAACCATCCCCTCCCTCTGTTCCCACCCGCCCCGTCCTCCCAGCCCGCCTCCCCCACCCCGCCCCGCCGCCCCAGCTCCCATCTAGTTTCCCCTGTCCCATCTAGTTTCTCCCTCTCCCCTCGACTGGAGTTGGAAGGTCCCTTTGGGTGACGCGCTCACCCTGGTCCCGTGGCGGGGCTGCGGGCACGCCGGGGCTGTGCGGGGCTCCCGGCGGGTCCCCGGGGCGGTGGCCGCACGGTGGCAGCCGCGCCGCACGCACCGCCCGGCCCGGCCCGGCACCCCGGGCTGCGGCCCCGAGGGCTCCGCGGGGCGGGGGGCGGCCCCAGGGGCTCGTTCTGCCGGGGATTGCCCCCTCATCCCCACAAGCTAAGAAACCGGCAAGTGATGAGCGAGTCCTGTGAGGAGCGCCTGAGGGAGCTGTGGGTGTTCAGCCTGGAGAAAACGAGGCTCAGGGGGGACCTTATCGCTCTCTACAAGTACCTGACAGGAGGTTGTAGCGGTTGTAGCGGTCTCTTCTCCCAAGTAACAAGCGATGGGACAAGAGAAAACTACCTCAAGTTGTGCAGGGGACGTTTAGATTGAATATTAGGAAACATTTCTTCACTGAAAGGGTTGTCAGGCACTGGAACAAGCAGCCCAGGGAAGTGGTGGAATTGCCATCCCTGGAAGTGTTCAAAAAATGTATAGGTGTGGTGCTTAGGGACATGGTTTAGTTGCAGGCTTGGCAGTGCTGGGCTAACTGCTGGACTTGATCTTAAAGGCCTTTTCCAACTTAAACGATCCTATGGGGGGCCTGAGGAGACAGACTGGCACACAGGCACGGAGTGCCTACTGCAGCGGTGCTGGGTTCAGGTACAGCAGGGCAGTGCAGGGATGCTGGGAAGGGCAGAGAGCAGATGGCAGCGCCAAGATGTACTGGTCCCATGGGATGTCTGGGGTCCCCACAGTGAGGGCTGCTGTGTTTCTGTGCTGCCGCAGCCAAGCTGGCTGGTTGTGGAATCCCCCTCTCAATCCTGACTCTCCCTTCGCTTGTGATCACTGCACTGAACCTCACTCTGCTTTCTGGCCCCTTTCATTGGTTTATCCCCCCAGTATTAGGGTGGTAACGGCCCCTGTGCTGTGGAAGAGGTAGGAGGGATGGGCTGGAGGCTGGTGGCAGAGGGGAAAAGCAGCTGTGTACAAGGAACTTACCAAACTACCTAGCGTGCACATCACTGCCTGCCTTCCCACCTGGGTCCCTGCTGCCTCCCTGCCAGCAGGCAGCAGCTTGGGATGCAGAGAATGCACTCCCCTCCCCAGCCATCGCATCAGCAGCACAGCTGTTTGCATCTGGCCTGCAGGTGTTGGGTTTTATGTTTCCATTTTTTTATGATTATTAATTTTTATTCTTTCTTTTTTTGAATTTCCTTGTGGAGGGTGGGACAGTTGTTAGCGCTGAAAGCACCACTCGTGAGCCCTGGTATCCACTTGGGTAATATTCCCCGGCTTCCTCGCTCCAGGGTTTGAGTCAGCCCCAGGCACCTCCGGCTGTCTGAGTCACTGTCCGCTTCCCACCGTCTCCCTGCAGCTGGGACCGGGTGCAGTGGCCAAGGGGGACAGGCCGGTGCTGCTGGCATTTTGTGTGAGCAGGTGATGCAAAGCAGCTGCCAGCCCTTTGGCAGGTGCTGGGGCTGCTTCTGGTCTGCTGCTCCTGCTCTGTCAGGAGAGAGGGGACGGAGTGTGAGGTGGTCCAAAGCTGGGGAGGAGCTGGAGATGCTCCAGGTGTCCGTGTATGAGGGAAGGCGGGAGGAAAGCAGGGCAGAGCTGAGTGTCTCTCAGCATCAGTGCCTGGGAAGGGAGGCCAGGCTGAGCAGCTCTGACCATGGAAAGCAAGCTGTCCTGTCAGCTGGTGTGGCTGCTGCTTCAACTGAAGGCTCAGAGTTGGTGTTTTTTTCCTGTAGATGCCACATTTTGCCTCAGGGCCACCCTGGATGGGGCTGTTCATCCCTCTCAGCCCCTCCTGCATGGGGGAATTTCTGCTAGGGTATAACCCCAGCACCCTGCCACAGACACTGTCAGGGAAGGAGAGTGGTCCTTCTTCCATGTCCTTCTCATTTTGGGCAGCAGATGAGAGTCCTCTCATGTGATGCCATTTCTTTTCCCCAGCTTTTTGTCTCCCCTCTATCTACACCTGCTCAGCTTCTGGTGAACCCCAAGGGATTCCCCTTTGTGCCAGGCTGAGGTTTGTTTTTTGCTTCTGGCCTGTGTCAGACCCTCCAGAGCTTTAGCAGCTGATTTCCCCTGTTATCTGTCTCAAAGAATGGCTGAAAGCTCTTCCTTGTGCTGCAAATCTCCTGGCCCCAGTGGGAGAAGCTGCTTGGAGTGTGGTCCATCAAGCAGCATGCTTGGAGGAGGCTTTTCCTCCATGGGACACCTTCCCTGACAGATACCCTTCTCTTCAACTTTTTTTGTGCTGTTGCAAACAACTCTTGTTTCAAACTCCAAAGTCATCACCCTAAGGCATTGGTGAACAGCACAGACCAGGTTAGGGCTCCCCTTTCCCACCTGAGGGATAGGAGGCAGAGCTGCATTTACAGGTGCTGAGGAGGTACCTCACACCTCTTCTATAAACAGCTCTTTCCCTTCTTGGTGGTTTGCCCCAGGACAAAATGCACGAAGCTCCTTGGCAAATTCTGGGGTCTTGAAACTGCTCCCCTGATGTTTTCTCATGGAAGCCCTCAGGAGATGTCAGAACCTGCTGCTGGACCATTCTGCTGTGGCTCCCAGCTGTGAGATGTGCTGCTCTGCCTCACGCTCCTTTATCTGCCGCTGCAGTGGAGAGGGCATCCCTGGCCATGTCTAGGAAGCACCAGCTGCTACTTTACTGGCTTTCCACCCCTGTTGTAGAGCTGACTTTGGCCTTACTTACACCACTTTGATGAAGTCCCTTCGGGGACTTTGATGAAGTCCTCATACTTTGTTTTAGGCTCACTGAAGTTTCTTTTGGCCGGTGTTGAAATCAGCAGGCACTGCCAGGTGCGGCTTGGCTCCAGCGCTGGTTTGGGGGGATGATAGCTCACGCTCATCCCAGAGGCTGTTCCACCCCTGACGCTGTTTGTCCCATTTTTTCCTTAGTGTTTAATCAAATTTGAGGAATTCTGAATCATTTCAAGGTGAAATGCATGAGTTTTCCTAAGAGAGGAGGTACAAAGCCCTGTTTCCCCAACCCCAGTGAGGACCAAAAGGCGGCTTTTGAGCGGGCAGGCCTCGGCACCTTTCAGCCAGCACCCAGCCCAGAAGTACTCTCCAGCTTTGCCTTCTCACTTCTGCAAGGCTCCTCTACTTGCCTCCTGCTTTCTGGCTTTTCCCTGTCTCAGCTTCCCCTGGTCTCTCTGCTTCCGTTTCACAATCCACAGGAAAACAAGAGTTGGCCAAAGCCCATCCGCCCACGGAGGCTTTGTGCGTGGCTGCCTTTGTAGTGAGCAGTGGCAGGGATCTGTGCCCGGGGTGGTTACGACCGTGGGATGGTTTAGAGGCCACCACCCATCTCGCCCTCAGTGAAAGTGATGGATGGAGGGAGGGGTGCAGCTTCCTGGGGTGCAGCAGGGCTTGACGTGACCTTTGTCGGCCACGTTTATGAGGGCTGGCGGGGGAGACGTGGGGTCATGGTAACCTGGCTTCAGTCACATCCCCTGGATGAGAGCCAGGAGATCCTGCTCCTCCTGGAGCTCCTGCTCCTCTACACCTCTGCCTCTCTCTGTTGGCCTCTTTGTAATCCTGGCAGCAGGTACAGTTTCTCCTGTCATGTTGAGCATCCTCTGGGAAGGTGAGACAGCAGGGCAGGGCAGGAGCACTTCGTTTTGATGCCATGGAAATGGGCAGGCAGTGCATGCAGTCCAGTGAGGGACAGGAGAAACCCAGGCAGCAAGGAAAAGCAGGATGGAGAATAAGAAATACCACAGCAAAAATATAAAGAGTGTCTCTGGGCATGGAAGCAGGATTCATCAGCATGGGGACACTGTTGGAGTGATGAATGGGAGAGCAGGGGGCTCCCAGAAGATGCTGCTGGTGGGGCTCAAAGAGTGACTTCAAGCTCATTCATCTTAGTCAATGATGTGCATGAACATCCTGGCTGTGGTGGTTTAGGAGCCCAGAGGCACTGATTTCAAGCAGTGACTGGTCCATTTGCCCTTGCCAGTATTTAACTGTCTTATGGCCACCAATCCCCAAGGGCACTCAGTGCCTGCAAGCCTCTGGTTCTTGGCTGCTGGAACTCAGCAGCCCGAGTTTGGGGGAAAGTCGCAGCACAGCTCCAGGTCTTGCCCAGTCTAAAACAGGTTTGCAACACGCCTGGGCGCACGAGGAGAGGCTGAGCCTGAAGCTGTTCCTGGGGATGGATTTATGCTCAGGTGACCTCAGGGGCTGAGGAGTGTACCCGCTGAGTTGGAGGCAGCACATCCCCCCCAGACCCTCTCCTGCCTGCGCTGGATGCATGACTGGGAGGGAAACTGGAGCGTAAAGGAGAGCTGTAAATCTGCCTGGAAGCTGTTGGGGAAGCAGTCCCTGGAGGAGGCTGTTTTGCTTCGGGTTGCTGTGCTCTAATTCTTAAAAGCTTTGGCCCGCAGATAAAAAGCTTAGCCTCTAATCCCATCCTGCCAGAGCACTCCTACGGAGAGCAGCTCAGAAACACCTCGCTCTTCGGCCTCTCCTCCCATCCGTGCTCTTCCTCCCCTCTCCATCCTGACTCTCTGGCTCTGCCATCCCTCCTGGATACTCCACTAACTCATCCAAATGATTTTGAATGGGGGCTGTGGTGTCCCCCTGATGCAGCACCCACCGCCCTGCCTCTGGCCACCTTCATTTACCCGCCACTGAGGACCCAGCTCATGCTCTGGGGAGGAGTGGCGATGCTCTCGGGTCCTCACCAGCTCTCCTCTCTCTCCATCCCCATCCCTGACCCCACTACAGGCGTCTTCGACAACTGCTCGCACGCGGCCAGCGACAGGGGCTGGGCACTGGGCATCCGTGCCCTGCAGCTCGGTGGGAAGAAGGACGCCCGCTTCTTCTTCTCCCTCCGCACGGACCGGGCGGCCACGGCCACAGAGGTGACCTCCTACCACCGCTACCGCCCCGAGGCGTGGACACACCTGGCTGCCAGCTATGACGGGCGCTGGATGGCCCTCTACGTGGACGGGGTGCGGGTCGGCCGTGCTGGCGGGCAGGAGGGACCCCTGCACAGCGCCTTCATGTCCTCCTGCCGCACGCTGCTGCTGGGAGGGGACGCCTGGGGCACCGCACACACTTTCCGGGGACACCTGGCCGGGCTGGCCCTGTGGCGTGGTGCCCTGCCCCAATCCCACCTCCAGTGTCCCTTCCTAGAGGAGGCGGCCGAGGGGGCGGCAGGGCTGGCTCTGGCCGCTGGCTTTGCCACCCCGGAGGAACGCTGGGTGCCCTTTCGGGAGGGCGCCTTCCCCCAGCAGTGGGTGCTGCTGTCCCCGCCACCCCCGTCCTGCGGCCGCTGGGCCCCCCCGCGTGCGGGCAGACTGCCTGCGACAACGTGGAGCTGGTCTCCCACTACAACCAGCACTGGCCGCTGCGCAGCTGGAAGGTGGTGCGGTACCGGGTGGTGAACCTGGCGGAGGATGACGGCGGGCGGCCGACGGTCAGCTGGGAGCAGATCTGGCGGCAACACCGGGCACTGAGCGAGGCTTTCCGGCCCTACAACATCTCCTGGCAGCTCAGCTTGCTGGAGGTGCACAACTCGTCCCTGCGCCGCCGCGCTGTCCTCCTGGGCTGCGAGCCCAGCAAGGTGGGCAACGAGCGCTGTGACCCCGAGTGCGAGCACCCCCTCACCGGCTACGATGGCGGGGACTGCCGGCGGCCCGGCCGCTGCTTCTCCTGGAAGCGCCGCGACGGCGTCTGCCACATGGAGTGCAACAACGTGTTGGACGACTTCGATGACGGCGACTGCTGCGACCCCTGGGCCACCGACGTGGCCAAGACCTGCTTCGACCCCGACTCACCCCATCGGTAGGTGTGGGGCTTATGGGGGCTGGTGGGTCAAGGGATGGGGTGAAGCCTCTCCCCAGCACCCGCTCTGCACCTGGGTATCGCTCCCAACCAGTGGCTTCCCAGTGTGGGAAGGCAGAGGGGTGTTTTCCACTGGGATGGGTGTGCTTGCCATCAAAGGAAGTAAATCCTACAACGTGATGTGGCATCCCCTCTGCAAAGCCCTGTCATTAAAGTGTTTCCCTATGCCTTAAAATGAGTGAGGGGTCATGGGGAAAAAACCCTGCAGGGGCATTCCCTGTGTAGAGCTGCCAGGCTCTGGCTGCATGCCAGAGGGACTTTGGGCATCCCCGAGGTGGGCCGAGTGGCCCCAACCAAGGGATACTGCTTACCCTGATACCACACACGGGATGCAGCAGGGGGATTGCTGCCCCTTCCCCAACTTCCCTGGATGTGCCTAAAGTCTGATTTCTTAATTTGTGATCAAAATACCTTTCCCTGAGTGCTGGAGAGGGGAGAAGGACGTCATGGTGTAGATGTGAGGTGCTGTGGCTGGGTGCACATGAGCTGTCCCAAATCCGTGCTCCAGGGAGTGATGCCCATAGGGAGATTCCCTTGGTCAGAGTAGGATGTGTGCCTTTACTCTGCGCTGCAGATGCAAAATACTTTACAAAATCCACATGGAACAAAGACCGTGGAGCATCAACACGTGGCGCTAGGGGACCCCAGGGCCCTTTGGAGGCAGAAGCTGGGGTGGGATAGAGAGGGGTACCCCCCAATGCTGGGGGACCCCGGGGTGTTGGGGACAGTGTCCTCAGTGTGGTTGGTGACCTGTGCACACCTGCACTCCCCACCAGAGGCTCTGAAGTGCCGACAGCCCCGCTGATGGCTTCCAGCACTCGGGGCTCTGCCAGATGTACTTTCTGGCTGGAGACGGGGAAGGGGAAAAAAAAAAGTCATGGTTTTTTCTTTTCTTTTCTTTTTTTTTTTAAGCCGTTTTTGTCTCGGTGTCAGAGTAAATTGCTCATTCCCTGCTGCCAGCTCCTGGTGCCGGGCGGAGGTGCCCACCGGAGCGGGAGAGGTGCGGTGCAGGTGGCAGCATCCATGGAGAAAAGCTGCAAGGGAGGGTTTTAGGGACACAATGCTTCTTTGATCTTCTCCTTCACTTTTTTTTTCCCTGTGCTGTGTGAGCAGGTAGGCTGCGGCCATAAACCCTTTTTTTCCAAACGTGCTTCTTCGCTCTTCTTCCTCCCAGGCAGGACATGGAGAGAGGAGGGGAGCAGGTGTCTCTGCTTGGGTGGTGGTGATAGAGAGGAGCAGGGCTTCCCCTCCTCCCTTTCTGAGAGCCTTTTTCACCCATCCTTCAGTTGCCTGAGAAAACATAGGAGGAGGATGGGGATCCTTTCTTCCAGTGCATCTCAGCCACACAGGGAGGCATCACATTGTGTCCCTGCCTGAGCAACACCCCCAGAAGATGTTTTCTCACCTCTGTAATTCTCTCTCTCTCCCTGTGCCTGCCTGTCCCCTTGTTTCCCATTCTGTGAGCCAGCACAGAGCTGCTTTCCTGAGCGTGGAGGAGATGAACAGCCCCCCTGGCTGCACAGCAACTCTCCACTCGTGGTGGCCATCAGCACCCAACACCACTTGGCCTTGGCTCCAGCAGGGCCAAGGCTCAGTCCTTGCCCTCCGTGTGCATTTAGAGAAATGTTTTCATCCTCAGACAAGAAGGGCTCCACCTTAAATTAAGAAAGGCCAAATTTTTGCTGGTATGAATCAGGGCTTCCATTTGTCAGGATTTTCCCCTGAAAGTTGGGAAAGAAAACAAAACAAAACAAAAACCTTGCTTCTGTGGGAAAGGAATGGGAAAACAGGAACACTAGGGAAATAACAAATCTTTTGCAATTTTCTTTCCGCAGACCTCATTGGTCTGCTCAGAAGACAAGATTGATTGATTGTAGGCTAAGCTCTGAAAAACGAAATCTGAAGTGTCTGGCATTTGGGAAATGTGGGGGCATGAGCAGAATCCTGCTGCCACTGAGCTCTTCTGAGCTGCCTTGGTCCGGCTTCTTCAGAGATCACAGAATAAAGGAGTCATGGAACAGTTTGGGTGGGAAGGGACCCTAAAGACCATCTTTTTCTACCTCTCCTACCATGGGCAGAGACACTTCCCACTAGACCAGGTTGCTCAAAGCACAGTCCAAACTGGTGGCACTGGTGGCACTGGTGGACACCCACCCTCCCTGGGCTCCCCCCTGCTGAGGGTAGTCTTCCTATTCTTCCTGGGGAAGAATATATATGTTAGTGGGAAAACCACTGGGAAACTGGGTTTGGGAAAAACCTAGCTGAGCTTGAGCTTGCCCAAGAGCACAGCCAGGTTGGTGGTGTTCCCCCAAAGTTGGAGGATGAATCCCAGGATACTGGAGCAGGAGACCTCAGCCTGAGGGGTTTTGTTCAGGCAGAGCTCCTGCTGAGCCAGTGCCGCTGTGTTTGCTGCAAGGTATGATACTTAAATGAACATTTATGAGGAGCGGGGCAGCTGGCGGAGTTACAGAAGGATTTTTAGGGTGGAAGCCAAAACGGGAGAAATAACGCGAAATAAAATTTAACAAACTGCGGAAAGGCGGCACAATGGGAGCCAGGTGCTTTGATGGGAACAACAGCTCTGGGTCTGTAACTGGAGGAGAGCGAGCGAGCGAGCTGGCTGCTGCTCCCCGAGGCGTCTCTGCTTTTTCATCCCTGTGCCAGAGCCCAGGAGGGAGCTGAGGCTTTGGGAGAGCTGGGGGAGAGGGAACCCCCGCTGCGGGAGGTGCTCTCTGCATCTCCTTTCAGATCGAGGTGGCAAGGCAAAAACCTTAGGATCTTTTTTCATGAACTAAGTCATCTCTGCTTTATTTCGTTTCAAGGCTCTCACAAAGAGTGGTTTGGATTTGAGTGTTTCTTAGTGCGTCCAAAAATAATCAAAATGAGAAAGTCAGAGCGAGACATTGGGCAATTTCTTGCCAGCATTGTGGACAGACTGAGTCCATTTTTGTGAAGGGGCTCAATACCTTGTCTTGACTTGAATGACCTTAAGCACTCATGCAAAAGCTTTTACCATCCTAACAATATCTCTCATTTAAAATCCCCTTCCCCTGGGCTGCAGCTTAGAGAGAGGCAAGCCAGAGGGAAAAGCCTGAGGAACAGTGGTGGCTCCAGTGCTTCTTAACTGTTGGACATCCCAGAATACTTCCAGGCCCACACCTGCTGCAGGCATATACCCTCACCCATGCTTAGCAGGGGAGAGAAATGAATTTTGGAAAGAAGAAGAAGAAGATGATGATGATTATTATTAAAAGGGCATGTAGTGACCGGATGAGGGGAAATGGCTTTAAGCTGAAGGAGGGCAGGTTTACTTTAGATATTAAGAAGAAATCCTTCCCTGTGAGGGTGGGGGAGGCCCTGGCACAGATTGCCCAGAGAATCTCTGACTGCCCCATCCCTGGAAGTGTTCAAGGCACGGCTGGATGGGTCTTAGAGTAGTGGAAGGTGCCCCTGCCCATGGAATGAGAGTGGAATAAGATGAATTTAAATGTCCTTTCCAACCCAAACCATTATAAGATTCCATAAAAACTCCAGTGGGGATGGAGCCAACTGGGGCTGAGGCAGGAGCTGCCCTCATCTCTGGGGTAGGGGATGATGCTGAAATGATGGCAGTGGCAATTCAGGCATCTTGTTGGGTCCTTCCTGCACCTCTGGTAGCACATGGCACAAGACAAGTCCTACTGTGCTCTGAGCCAGCTGGGCCACCACCCACATGCAAAACCCATCAGTGAGACTGTGCACTTGTGGCTGGAAGGAGACTTTAGCAAGAACTCATGTGAAGAGCTGTGTGTAGACATCCCTGCAAGGGACCCCAACAGGACCCATGGGAAACAAATCAGGGACTCGTCATTCAGCCTGACCCACCACATGAGGAATGAGGGGACAGGCAACATCAGGAGAGCTGCTGACTTGTATCCTTCACCCCATCTCATCCTGATTTAAAGCATATTCCAGGAGTTTCTAGCAGTGTAAAGTCAGGGCCCGGAGTAAAATTTGCCTTGATTTTCTGCAGACTCCCATTTTCTTGCAGAGCCTGAGTGCTGCTGCAATTTTCTTGGAAGGAAAGCAGCAACAGCTCATTAACAGCAATTAACACTCAGCGAGGGTCCCCCTCGGGCAGTTAGTCAATGAGAGTCTGGTGTGTGACACAGTTAATGTGAAAAGAAAAACCAGAGGGGAGTCTGGAGAGCAGAGTGGGTAAGGGCTGAGCTGCTGGGCCTTTCATCTCGCTGCCCAAAGTAATGGCAGAAATAACCCAAGTGACAAAAGGAGGTGAAAAATGACGAGGTATCTCCAGCCTTGGTGGCCTCCGCTGGGATGACCGCGGCTGTGATGTTGAAGTGTACCTGATTAACAGGACACTTGATGGGTTTTAATGCAAGCTTAGCTGGCCTCCAGTCCTAAGGGAAGGGTGCTTAATTGGGTTAAGGCTGCTGGGGAACCTCCTGCTGTTTAAGCCTTGTCTTCAAAAGCTGATCCAGATTAACCTCACTAAATGTCTCTGGTGGACGACCCTTGAAGATGAAAGAATCACTCCAGCTATTCCCTGGCACTTAAGCAGCCCGTTGTCAGGAGATGTTCAGCTGAAAGTGGTTGGAACTGAGGGCATTAAGGGTGTCAAATTGAGAGCAGGTGGGGCAATGATGGCATTTTTGGGGCCACAGCTGACCTGCTCAGACCTTAATCCCAACCAGATGGTAAAACAACATTCAAATTAGCTGCTCACTTCCTTTCTTCTTCCCTGGCTATAGGAAACCTCTCTCTCCCTGTGAAAGAGGGCTGGTGTGTGTGATGTTATTTTAAAATTGGAAGATTTGGGTACACCCTGAGGTTACTAACAATTTGCAGAGCATAGAATCAATTGGAGGTGGTAGATGGCAGCTGCTTGTGGTGGTTGGTCACTTGAAGGGTGGATGGAGAGGGTGTTTTCAGTGATTTTC